CCCCCCCACCGCAGACCATGCAAAAGATTCAGAAGTGAAGTCAAAAGGAAAGTAAACCAAGTCTGATTTACTTTTAATGAAAAAACAAACAAACAAGACTTCTGGTTGTATAGACGTCTACAGAAATACGATCTTTTGCTCCCTTCCCTCCTCTATGATCTCAGTAAACACTTTCTTGATAACTTTTTTGGTTCAAACACTAGTTTCAGTTCCTATTTAATGCTCACAGGTAATTGTCTGATGATGATTTATTTTTAAAAGTGCTTTTTAAAAGCTGATTAGCAGTTGTAACCAGAATCATGCCTAGCACACGGAGCCACGTGGAAACGAGCTGATGTTTCCAGTTTCACAGCTGGACGCAGACAGTTCTGTAGCTACACGTCGCCACGCTTATTAGACTTAACTGTGAAACTTCCTTTGACCTCATCAGACCTGAGCTCACATGGATGCTAAAGGCCTGTTTCTCCCGCCTCAGGCGACTACTTCTCTCCGTACCTGCGTCAGAGCCGAACACTCCACGTATTTGACGGCCTTCAGCTCACGAGCCAGTTTTTCTCCGCTCTCACAGCTCAGGGCTCGCTGTTTGTTCTTGGCCAGCTTCTCCAGGGTGTTGCTGTCGTCTCTGAGATCCACCTGAGTCCCCACCAGCAGGAAGGGCGTCCGTGGGCAGTGGTGTGAAATCTCTGGCACCCACTGTGAAAAGACAAGGTCAAGGTCAGGCTTGATGGACTTTCAATGCAACTCCAACTGACCTGAAGCCTCCTCTGTGTCCTTAAAGTTACACTGTGAACACATTTAGATCTAAAACCAAGCTGATGGTGTTCTCAATTAATTTTTACTGAGAAGACAATAACTTGTCATAGTGAATAATCTGGTTTACAGATTATTCTGACAGCCTTGTTTAAAAAGGTGAAATGTACATGTGTCAATCTTAATCTAGAAACAAAAAACACAGAGAGCTAAACAAACCTTCTCTCTGACGTTCTCGAAGGATGAAGGTGATACAACAGAGAAACAAACGAGGAAGACGTCAGTCTGAGGGTAGCTGAGGGGTCGCAGTCTGTCGTAATCCTCCTGACCTGCAGGGGGAGACACAAGATGACAAAATTAAGCTAATAGAGATAAAAAAAACCAAACAAAGCTTCAGGTCCAGTTGAGGTGGGCTCCAGAACTGAGTCAATGCCCATATTAAAGAGTCCAAATTTGGGCCACACATGAACATGCGCAGCGAGCTACAAAACAAAAGCCCTCCACCCTCTTCACCATAGCGACGCAGCGGGGATTTTCATTTAAACATATGGATACTGTAAAGGTTTCACCTTAGGAGTGTGGCTTGTTTATTTGACAGGTAAATGTGGAGCAGATCGCAGTCCGCTCGGTCTCACCTTCACCAGCTAACATCTCACACTACCAAAAACTCTCTGACTTCCTGTTTTACCAAAAGCGGTGGTGAGATGTAGCCAAAAATTAAGATTTCATGATGCATTTTCCCCCCCAGGAAGTTTTCATCATCTTTTTGATAGAAGAGGGTTAGCACATTGACTTAGTTTTATTTTTAGGTTTTGTAGTGCTTTTAACTAGGGCTGGGTTTTTATAATCGATGTATCGATTAAAATCGATTCTGGCTTGGATAACGTAAAAT